TTGGTAAGTGACTTTTGATGTAATTTGCCACCGGCAACGAAAACATTCAGTTAGAGACTGGACATATAGGCCTATTTAAAGAAAACTGGAACTGAAGTTTGTCTCTTTTCCATAGAAGCGAAAGTAACAACAAGACGTCTTGTTCTTTCGTGCACATTTTTTGTTGCGGATCGAGATTTCTAGGAATGTCTTTATTAACATGATAGAGTATCGAACCCTGAATCTTGATTCAGCGTTCGTGTAGGCAAATGGACAGTTCATGAGTGGGTATGAAACCCGTTGTACTTAAACATATTAAACACGGAACTTAATTTCGTTTGCAATTGATAACCACGCTGTCCACTCTCGCTTGACATGGAGGTAATCCATCCAGGCGATAAACCCACTACAGCATGTCAAGTGACAGTGATTAGTGCAGACTGCATGAAGCTTGTATTTCCGCTCAAAATGTGTTCGTCTTCTCGTTTTTAATTAGGACAACGTCATAATGAACAATAAATTTCATGGGTTAGCCACTCTTTCTTCATTACATGACAAAAATGTCGCTTAAAAGTCATGGGCAAAACGATCCTCCTCCTAGGATTTCATGGCCCTCTACTCTCTTACAATTCATCATCATCTATTTCAAGGTAGGATTAATAGCCCGTTCCATCTAAAAGACCGTCCTCCCATCGTCTTCTCGGTCGTCCAACATGTCTTCCTCCGTCTCGTTGACAATTTTTAAATTTTCGGCTCAGTCTTCAAGCGTCCATTCTTAAGATGCGATATTGCCGCCTCTTTATTTTTGTAGTCTTTGTTTCTCTCGTCTAACTAACTAACTAATTAACTTCATGTATCTGAGCCTCTTCTTGAGAAGCCGTCAATTCTGCAGCTACTCAAGAACTTCCCAGCATTTTATGGAACCCGAAGGTTCATTATCGTGTTCACAAGAGCCCTCCACTGGTCCCTATCCTAAGCTAGATCGATCTAGTTCACATTACCCCATCCTATCTTTCTAAGAACCATTTTAATATTGTTCATCCATCTATGTCTTAGTCTTCTTAGTGGTCTCTTCTCTTCTAGCTTTCTCACCGATATTCTTTCTTCTACAGCATTTGTGTAATGCGCTGCATTCTGCTTTATAAGAGTACAGTACATGGTCTATAAGCGTACATCCAGGGACACGCCTTAATAAGCGCATCTGCTATTTTCTCCTTTCAGATCTATTCAGAGCCAAGTGTCCACTTTCATACGTAAGCATGGAAGCTGCTGTTTCCTTATACAAATTTAATCTTATTATCCTTAGTAGTTTTATTGTGTAGTGCTGTTTTTATTGCTCCACACACGTATGTTGAACTCTACAATGCATTTCAATTCACAATAAATCCATTAAACCTTTCATGGATTATCTTGTTATCATTCTACAAGGCCCCGATTTGAATATGACAGAAGCACACAGACACACATCTATGCTTGGTTCAGCATCCGACTACACACAAGCACTCACTGACAATCATTCTCTGTATTTGGAACATTCAATTAACTGCCCACAACAGCTTTCACAGTTTCAAGTATTATTTCTGCAGAGTCTTACAGCTACTGTCACTAGGCTTTCCGACAAACGCTTCAAGTTCTGATTTGTAGCTAAAACCTTCTTTAGCTTGGATGTGCTGCCAATTTAAGCAAGTAAAGATTTTCTTTGGCATGTACTGTCTTCGCTCGCTTGGAGACCTGGATCGTGGGTTCGAATCCCACTCAGGGCATGGGTGTTTGTGTGCGATTTTCTGTGTTTGTGTACAGATAGAGGCCTTGCGACAAGCTGATCACCCGCCCAGGAGTCCTACCGAATGTGTAAGCTCTATAAAAACCGAAGTGAACGGAGAAGTTCATGGAGGTAGGCCTAGGCCCACTGGGGCTGTAGTGCCAAGGAAAAATGAAAAAAAAAATCTTTGGCATGTACTGTCTTCGCTCTCTTGCAAACCGGGATCGTGGGTTCAAATCCCACTCAGGGCATGGATGTTTAGTTTGTGTGTTCGCTTTTTTCTGTGTCTGTGCACAGGTAGAGGCCTTGCGACGAGCTGATCACCCACCCAAAGGGTCCTTCCGAATGTGTAAGATCTAGAAAACCCGAAGTGAACGGAGAAGTTCATGGAGGTAGGCCTAGGCCCACTGGGGCTGTAGCGCCACGGAAAAAAAAGAGAAAAAAAAGATTTTCTTTAATCGACTTTTATTTCTACCTACCTTTCCTTGAGTACAGAGATTAAGATTATGCAAAATATTTGCTAAACAATTTATAAAGCAGATCAATGTAATAATAAGGTAAGCAACGAAGGACAAATTGATGCAGCTGAAGAAAAAAGAACGTTGTGATCGTTAATTGGGTAGGAAAGGTTAGACCAAAGAAAGGCAATTAATCTACCGACGTATCTTAGAAACTTAACGATAACAATAACACATAACTGAAGAGATAAAGACGTAGATGTAACGTGTGAAGACAAGTTCCTGAAGATAGCATAGAACCATAAATTTACAGTGCGAGGGTAAGTGAAAATTTCAAGAGATGCTGGATGCCAAACTTTGAGACCTTTCAAGAATATGATTACATGCACGTATTTCGTGAAACCAAGAATGAAAGTAACTAATGCGCTATATCTTTTAAGGACAACTAACACAAATATACCAGCTTAGCTATTAATTTTAACATATCGTCCATTTTAATTTGGCGTTTGACAAATACATTCATTTTGAAAACTTAATTATAATATTTATAATTGAAATAAAGTAAAGGTATCCCTGTAACAGGCCGTGGAGGCCCATAGGGTTGTGAGACGTTGAGGTTCTCACATTTTCTAGACAATCGGCTCAAAGATGGCGGTAAGGTTGTCAGCCTTACGCGCCGGCCGCTCTTTACCCCCAAGAATATTCCTTGTACTCATTTCTGTTAGAGGCTGAGTCGACGCCAGAGCCATAGTGCGGCTGGAAGGATTAGGTTAACTGAAATAATCCAATGACCTCATCGGGATTTGAACCCGCGACCTTCCGGCTTGTAGCATAGAGCCTCAAAAAACTACGCTACCGCGTGTCCCCAATATTATAATTATTATATGAATATTATTTCCTTATTAATCTACAGTAAGGAGCGGGTCTCCACGAGTGTAGTATATTAATGAGACGATAGACTGGGCAAGATAACTGTAGTTCCTTACAGGCACATTTTCAAACGTCATAGTTCGCATAGTTTGAAAGTATCTGACAATTCCACATTTGTATAATACTATGCTGTAGACACGCTAAAAGAAGGAATGGGTTGTCAGAAACTTCTCAGCCTCCATACAGCCAACCTAAGTCTTGGAAAGTGGAATGTAAGGGCAAGCCTACACCTTTCGTCCTTTGTCAATAACTTTCTTAACGAGGAGTGTAGCTGGAATTGCTTTATCATATCACAATATTTACCAACGCTTTTAAACAAAAATTTGCTATGACTGAGATCACGAAGAAAATACATCAAAATATGAAGTTGGATGTAGCAGAAGTCATGAACAAGATCACTTATTTTGGCTGTAATAATTACGAAAGAAACAGTTCCCCCAAAAAAACCAAGAATCACGTGACATGGCTCCATTAATATACAAAATAATTCGACCTGAATGAATTTATGAACAGAATAAATTTTATTGAATATATTCTGAATAAAATCAGCTTATGACTCAGCAGTCATATATGCAGTAATTTTCATTGGATGAATTTATGACGAATGAATTCCCTCTTCACTTCATTCATGCACAAAACCATTTGACGTTGCTACATTCGTGTACACTTTATAATTCCGTTGCAGCATTTGTGTGTGCGTGTTCTGAAATAGGTTGCATGAGGCACTTCGGCTATTAGACACGTAAACATGTTGATGTGCGGTGTTTATTCAGAACAGGCAGAAGAACAGATATCTCAAGACTTAAACGGAATTTGATACAACCTAAAATGTGTTTAGCTTTGGCTTTTAATTTTCCTTGAAAACTTGTGTTAGCCGAACTTTATATTCTCAGCTTTAAAACTCTCAACACAGATTATTGGCCTCCTAAGTAGCCTCCAAGTACAGGTATTAAACGTTTGAAACTTCTTTAATTGCTCTTTTACTGCCTATTTTCTTTTTTATATCAAACTGCTGTATTTAATGAAACACTTTCAAGAAGGCGTTGAGCGACTTAACGAATCAGTCTGGGTATCGATAAACGTGCAGTGTAATATTATTAGTAAAACTGGACACGAATTCGTCACTTAAAAGCTTATAGACTAATCTTTATTTCTTGCATAACAATGCAACCGCGGTTACAGAATTCGAGGTATGTTTACTTTTCATAGACGGAGAACCAACCAATTTAATTTCTCAAAAGTCACTATTCTGTTTCGCAATTTACATTTCATTTAGTGTTACTAGTCTTAACTTAAACTATCCTAATCCATGCATATATATATTGAAACCGAAATTTCACTTCAAAAAAAAGATTTCAAATATACCAGCTGCTAAATTACTGTTCCTTACGTTGGTGATAATGTCAGAAGTTACAAAGTATTCGTTAATACTTAAATTAATTTTATGTACTTATTTACGATTTATTTAACAGTACTTTCAGTACCTGGGACTAAAATGACAATGAAAATAAGGAAAATAGGTGGAAGGAAGAGACCGTGGCGTAATTTGTCATACACTCCCGAAATTTGCCTGAAGGGGCTGAGGAAAATCAGGAAAGAGCTGTCAGAAAAATCGTTAAGGCTTGACCCAACTTTCACTCTCTTAAATTATAATGTGGAACGTACTGAGATCATGGTTTTCCAGTTTAAGTTCTGTTCACTGCTACTCTGCCTAAACTCAACCACTTTAACTTCACAAAACTCAGTAACCTGCTGCAGTAGTCAGATTTTACTTACGGGTAATTTATTAGCTTAATGTAAACGATCTTTATTTACCGGTATATATATATATATATATATACGCGCGCGCGTATGTACATAGTACAACTTACCTTCAAAAACAATTCAACGATTTTAAGTGATCCATTGCTCTTCCTTGATTCTTCAATATATCCACTTGTGAAGACGCTATTCTTTGAAATCTGTATACAAGTTTCTAAGTCTGTATGTAGTACAGCTGCCAGTTCTCTCCTTAATGCAGGTTAATTAACGTCTGTAACTATCACATCAACTTTCAATATCTTATTTCATTTAATCCTTGTAAGAAAATCAAGACTAGTAAACATCTGACATCTCTGTTCTCAGAACGCTTCTCGCACACTTCAAATATTGAAATTCAACAATAGCAATTGATATTTTGTATAGTCTATTAAAGATTTTTCAGAAATTTCTTATACTGTCCCCTTCATATTAAAAAAAAAAGTTAGCACTTTTTTGATAGTTGTGTTACATATGTAAATGTTTTTAGAAGTTTAACATCAGCAAGTGGCAACGCCGGGTGTAGAACATGACACATATCAATAAGGTCACAGCCGAACAATTTCATATAGGTCAATTAAACACTAGAAAGTCGTTTCATATGTTCACACATAATAAATGTCACTCATTAAATTAGTTTACACTTTTCACACGTGTATATATTTTTATATTAAAAATGAACATATTTACGTCAATTGTAAATTAGGAATATTATTGGACATAGGTTTAATATTGATCTTATGTACAAGTATATAAAGCAGTCATCGAGGCATTTCGATTATAAGAACCGGGGTTACTTGTGAATTACTTCCAACTTTTAAAATTCATAACGGTTTAAATTGACGATTTTCGCCACGTACGTCTGTTTGAGGTTAGAGCGTTAACTGATTGTGAACAGACCACACGCTATTATGACGTGTTTACATGAACTGCACAAATGATATCACAGTCTTCACACACACACACTGCTCCTCCATGTCGCTCTATATATGATGGACTATGTGGCTAAGCACACAGGTAACAGGTAGGTTTGGCGATCAACCTGCTTCCTAGCGGGTATTGGTCGAAACTAACCGGACCGGCGAACCGGGACTACAAGTTCTTTCTTTTTTCTTCTTACCCCTCTTTCCCCTTAATCGTCCTGAAATTAAACCAATGCCTCTCTTTCGCCTGACTTACCAGACATGTTACTTTCTTATTTAACACTAGCTTTCATTAAGTTTCTCAGGTTAACTCGTGTCTAGAGAGGCAATTTCCTTTCTCTCTCTCTCGTTCACTCTACTGTCCTTTCTGTTGCAGACATTAGTCACCAATAGAGGAATGATTATACTTCGGCTGTCGATTACGACGTCCGTGCTTCGATAAGCTGTCGCAGCTCATAACCTATCGGTACTGCGTTCGAAACTCGACCGATACTATTTCTTCCTGGTTTAGCGTAGTGCCTCCAGCGAATTCCAGTGTTGTAAGATGTAACTTGGAATCTGCCAAAAATTGTCTCCTACGAAACTTCTCTCTACACAGCGACTGGTATTGCTTTCCCATCTCATTAGAAACCCAGGAATGTTAATAATGACAACACGTGTGCTGAAAGAAGCACGCATAGGGGAAAGGAGAAATACATACAGGATCAAGGCCAATAAATATCAAGAGATGAGATATTTTAACTCGATAGGAATAAATGGGCATATACTGTCTTCGCTCGCTTGGAAAACCGGGATCGTGGGTTCGAGTCCCACACAAGGCATGGGTGTTTGGTATGTGTATATGTTTATTCTGTGTTTGTGTTGTCCTGTGTTAAGTAGAGGCCTTGCGACGGCTGATCACCCGTCCAAGGAGTCCTACCGTCTGTAAAATAATCAAAATGAAAGAAGAGGAATGGTTTAAGTAAGTAGGGAATAAACGGGGACTTCATATTAGGAAGATATTTTGAGGGGAATTGATTAAGAAGATGTGATCATGATTCGGTGAACCAGAAGAGGGCAAACGGTAGAGGTTTCATGAACACTCTAATGGTAAAGGTCAAATTGTCACTATACTTTATTAGTTAAGCACTATGCTGTGTAGATATATTGGGGAGTATACCTGCATTTTTCTTGACCTCGTCACTAGAAGGAAGTGAGCGATTAGCTACACGCTCCTGTTGCTTCAACACCCCGGGGAAAGAGCGACCGGTTCCTAGGCTGGGTGGGCCTCAGGATCGATCTGGAGGCTGCCGGGAATAAAACCCGGGCCGTCCAGCCTGGAGGCAGTCGCTATACCAACTGAGCTATCCCGACTCCTGAATACAGTGGTGAAATTTAATAAAAGAAGATAATTTCCTAACCATAAACGACGATGCAGTTGGATTTGAAATGCAACTGAATTTATAACAGACCCTAAAATATAACAAGATTTATTGTTGGTTTCGGAAACTCTAAATATGAGAAGAAGGACACACGGTGAATTGAAGGGGCATAGACTACATTATTCCAAACGGTGAAGGCATTTTAAAAGATCTCTCTCTTGCCACCAGCTCCTTGTTGGCTACTTGGTTGTCGACTCTGAAAGTGGAAGCAGAAGGTTCCTCCGTAACGTCGGTGAAATTCTATCGGACTAAACTGCGTTCTATCCCAGAATACAGCTTACTGTTCCTCTATGTCACTACTGTGGGAACCTAAAATTCAACAAGTTTGGATAAAATAAATTACTGTGGCACATTTGCTCAAAGCAAGAACTGTGAAGCCAGCAGACAGCCGTTGCTAAGGAAAGGCTCTGCAAACACGCCTGTTGCTAAGCAACAGATTCATAACAAGCAAAAATGGGGTAACTGAGAATCGGTGTTCTTTCGTGGTTCGTGCAATAGCTAAGTGTCGCAACAATAGAAGAATTGTTGGGTGAGGCGTTTTCTATGCGGTCCGTGTCGAGGTTATGTAATGAGCAGTGGCTGCGATCTCTTCACCCAATTCTTAAACCGTGGATACTGCGGAACTGAGAGATTAAAGAAAGACTGAGAATCACAACCAGGGCTGGAAATTGGAGAAAACGCGGGTAGACGCCGTCTACGTGGCTCCGGAAAATACTTTTTGTTTTTAATGAAACTATCTGCAGTGCCATAAGGCACAATATCATTCCCAACACTGATATATGTGGAAACGAATTTCTGAAAGCCTCCAAAATAATATCCTTTATAAAAAAAACGATGTTACGTCCCGGACTCTACTACTGGTCTGCAGCGTCTGTATACAAGGACGTGTCTGTTTGAATGTGGATGTAACCTAGTTACAAAACTCGGAACTTTGGATCTAGTACTCTTTCATGAAGAGTATTTACAACATGAACCATAGTGAGCATGCAAGGTTTCAACGGAGCCTCACATATTTTATCAAAAGACTTTTATAAGAATGTAGCATGTAATTTCTCCGGAATACGGCCATGGCCACAAATTTCATTCAATAGAACGATGGAAACAAATCATCCCTTACTGTGGTAAATATAAATCAGTCGATATTTAATGTTACTGCGCTTTTAAGGGCGGATAATTTCAGGGAACAGGTCCTCCGGGAAGGACTTTAAGCCGTGGGTCCCGTGTCGTAGCTTTACGGCACGTAAAAGAACCTCATATCTCCAAAGGAGGTCACTGAGCCAAATTACGGACGTTTCCCGCCCAACAGCAGTCTCTAATACCTCTGGTAGACGGGGGAAGCATTATAGATACCTCTCAGCTAGTAGAGCCGGTCTCGCTGGCTGGGCGGGACTGATGGTAAGCACCAGTACCGGTAGGATATAGAGACTTGTAGAAATCATAGAGGGAAGCACAATGGACCAAGACAGGTCTGAGTGCATGGGGAAACCCACCCTCTCCAATAACTAACTAACTAACTAACTAACTAACTAACTAATGTTACTGCACAGTCAAGTATCATGCACTGACCAAGACCAGGATTACTGCCAACAGGATGTGGCAACGTTAGTAGCCTGTATACAAATGTAAGATTTGAGGTTTTCACGACGCTGACTATGAAGAATACCGTTTTCTGGGATGTGAGGACGTGTAGATCTTGTCTGAAGAGACGTTTCGGAGGAACGTATCGCCTCCATTTTTACGGTACAAAAATCCGTTAGCGAGGAACCAGCGTGAGGAGATATCTGCTAAAGTGGTTCTAAGTTCTTGGAACGATTATCAGATAATTTAAATATAATGTTCGTCTCAATGTAGTGAAAGTTATCTGAATGATAATACGAGATTCAGGACTTGGTACAGCTAATGAGGACACATACAGGAAAGTATGAATAGTACCAATACAATATGTGTATTGGCGATATGAGTGTTCGTTTTTGTTGCCAGGAAAGTTTCTTTAGATCTGTCTTCAAGAGCTGTCCGAGATTTTTCTGATCTCTGATAATCACAGTCACAGGCTGTAAGCACATCAATGTTCTCTTCTTTCACGTTAGATACTAACGAAATGTATTACGCCTTCTTTATAATTGAACTAACTCCGCCACTGCAAGAAAACTGCGACAGTTTCCAGGTCTCTCTTTCTCGATACCTTTCTTTTCTGTTCCTTTTTGCATTCTCTCCCACATTCCACTCCTTTTACCCTTCTCTCTCACGTATCAAGAAATATCTAGTTCAGCAGCCTTGAAGTCGCTACTAACGGTTTGAAGTATATTGAACTAGAAGAGCACCTTCCGCCTCCAATTACACACTCACTCATGGAGCTGAGCCCTTCTGGAGGAGCCGCCAATTCTGCAGCTACTCAAGAATTTCCCAGCATTTTATGGAACCCGAAAGTTCATTACCGTGTTCACAAGAGCCCTCCACTGGTCCCTATCCTGAGCCATCAATCCAATCTATACCATCCCATCCTATCTCTCTAAGATCCATTCTAATATTGTCCACCCACCTACGCCTTGGTCTTCCCAGTGGTCTCTTTCATTCTGGCTTTCCCATCAATATCCTATACGCATTCCTCGTCTCCCCCATTCTTGCTACATGCCCTGCCCATCTCATCCTCCTTGACTTGAACATTATAATTATACTTGTATAAGAGTACAAGTTATGAAGCTCCTCAATATGCAGTTTTCTCCAACCTCCTGTCACTTCATCTCTCTAGGTCCAAATATTCTCCTCAACACCCTGTTCTCAAACACCCTCAGTCTAGGTTCCCCCCTTAATATCAGAGACCAGGTTTCACACCCATACAGAATCTCGCCTCCTATTAAATAACTTAAATACTGAATAATATAAACTTACAAATTCATATGTTGCTCTACGAAAGCATGAAATCTGGGTACCCAAAGAGGAGAATAAGGACTTTGGGCTTTCACAAGACAGTTCTGAGGGGAATATTTATGCTAAAGCAAGAAGAACCAGCAGGAAGGTGTAAAAATATCATAATAAGGAAATACGTCACATAACATAATTAACATGAAGGTTAGGAATTTTCAATCCTCTCCTCTCCTCTAGGGGGGAGATAAGGTAGCGTAGTTGGTTGAGGCACTGTGCTACAAGCCGGAAGGTCACAGAATCGAATCCTGATGAGGTGGACTTTTCAATTGACCTAATCCTTCCAGCCGCACTATGGCCCTGGGGTCGACTCAGCCTCTAACAGAAATGAGTGCCAGGAATATTCTAGGGGTGAAGGGCGACCGCCGGCTAAGGCTGACAACCTCACCGCCATCTATGAGCCGATTGTCTAGAAAATGTGGGAACCTCAACATCTCACAACCCTCTGGGCCTCCACGGCCTGTTACAGGGGTACCTTTACTTTCCTTTCTCTCTCCTCTAGAAGATCGGTTGATCCTGGCAGCACAACTGAAGGCAACAACGGGGTCTAGTTGCATGTTCTATTGAATACGATTAGGATGATGAGATTTAAGAAGATGAAAGTGAAGAACATTCAAGTGTATGAAATCATGGGGAAATGATAAGTTCGTAAATAATATATGTCGAAAACCTGAGAAGAAACCTTCAAGTGACGCACAACGATATTATTAAAACTGATATTTCAGGAATGAGGTTTCATGATGTGGAATAAATTCAGTAAATCACGATGAAGTCCATAGATTCCCATAAAAAGTGGAAAATTTCTTCACTAATTGATGGACTATTAGTTTCTAAAGAATAACTCTGTTGCATGGATTACTATGTCGAACTGGAACGAAGGTTTTGTTCCATGTAAGACTCTGCATGAACAGAAAAATATTTTAAATAACCTACGACATGCACGAAGTACATTTTGCTGTGCGCCAGTGGCCATGATGAAGCACGAAAAGTTCATATAAGAGAGAGAGCTAGCAGCGATACACGTTTTCATTT